AAAAAAAAAAGTCTGGTTTACGCTGGTTTGAACCAGCGGAATCTCTTGTGGCTAAGCCTTCTGCTGTGACTAAAATCAAAACTGCACCACAGAGAGCGAGGGAGCGAGATGGGATGTGTGTGTGTGTGTGTGTGTGTGTGTGCACGCACACGTGTGGCCGCGAGGCTCGTCATGTGACACGGAAAACTACCGAATTTTTTTTTTTAAAAAGCTGATAACGCCACCGCCGTCTCTGTCCGCATATAGATAACGAATAAATGCTGAACTCTATTAAACGCCCTTTACACATTATCGTGGGTCGAACACACAATTTTCTGAACTTATGATGACAGTCTATTTATTTTGCTATAAACCCTCGGCATGTAACGAACAGATTTGTGTCTGGTAATGATCTGCTCTGCCAGGGCTATATGAAATGATACCGACCTTCTTTAGATCTTGGCGAATTAAATTGACCAACTTCACCCCCTGGTCTGTAGCTGAAGTTTGACACACTTTATGCACAGCAAGCCCAAATCTAATATTATCACAACTTTGTAGTCAGAAATTAAGTAGACACAAAATATTTGCTCACTACGAATCACATATGGAATGTATGGGTATATGGATATGCAGTTTAACCCAATGTGAATTTATTTAAACCTGCTAATGAACATAGCTGCAAAAGAGAAAAGAACAATATTACATCTCATGAAAGCTGATAATACTGAACTTCACACAATTTTGGTCGAGAGAGATTTCTGGTTTAACCCAACATATACTTCCTCAAAAACATACGAATTGCTACATAAAACAGTTCTATTATAATTAAAGTGAAGCTACAACTTTATGTATTGTCTCACTGCACTGAAAAACTCAAAACTTTCAAGAGATTTGCTAAATGTTGGTGGCCAGGATGACAAAGAAGACTTGAAAGCAACAGAGCCTGTTTAAGACCACTCTTGGAAAATAAATAATAATGCACACAGTAGTTTTTAGGCATTGGGTTTGTGAGGTGGGGGGTTCTTTTGATGCAAGAAATGACATTTCTTGATTTTTAACCTCTGAGTGCCTTATCTGAGTACATTTCCATGATTCAATTAAGAAGAAATTAAAATATATTAAGCAATGACTTTACTGAACTCTAGGTGTATTAAGAGCACTATATCACTACTTGCCACATGAAAAAAAGTTGCATTTATTTAAAAAGCAACTTTCAGGAGCAGAATTATATAATTCTTACAAATTCTTACAGGAAATTTCTCTATGATCTATCTGTTAAAAGCAATTACATCTTGGTATAATCAAGGGAATTGTATTCCAAGCTATTCTAAGTGCCATCTAGAGACAATGGCTGCTACTTCTGGGAGACATGTTGGGAAAATGAAGAAGACAAAAGACAAATCACCATTAGCTATTCTTCACTCTGTTCTTTGTACTTCAACCTTCCTTCCTGAGAGAACAACTGGAAACTCATACCTATCATCCTATTCATTACAACTCATAACTTGGCTGTGGTTTGCTGTAATTGTACCTTTGAAACTCAACTAAAAAAAGAGAAGCTGAGGAAAAGACCCAGATCATTTATTTCTCCAATAGTGACCTCTTTCATTTCTAGCTTTTTAATATGATCATACCAGCCAGCATGCATTAAATTCCTTTTGTCTTCTCTCTCCACCAAAAACACCATGCAGATGTTTTATCACAATGACAAAGACCAACAACTCATAGCTCTTGTTTGCCTCTGGGTAACAATCCTGACAAGTCAGATATTCAATATTTCTCTTGGCAGATTTTACCAATATTTGTGGTTTGGTACAGGAGCAATTCTGAGCTGGTAACTTTTGTCAACACCTCCTCTGTCAGAAAAGGAATCCTTTCTCTCCCCTTTCAGTTGGTGACTGAATTGGGGAAAACAAACCCAGCATTTTTCAGTTAAACTAATTTAACCTAATCCAAACTGATTGAGAAGTAAAAATCCTACAATATCAGGCCTAGGATTAGTCCATGTACTTATATTTATTTCCATCAGACAAAACAAAAGCAAGCATCTAAAACATCTTCAAATATTCTACATGGCTTTAAGTAATACCTGAGCATCCTTTCATCATTTACTCCAAATTTTCTATTGATATAATAATGGCTAGGAGTGAAAACCTGGGGTTACTGAGTTAAACACGACAATATCTCATGTTCAGTGTCTGGTAAGTACCTAAACTTTACACTTGATTTTGAAAGCTGTACATTCTAATAAGCTCAATACCACTTAAAGTTTTTGCACTAACTGCTTGCACCCGTAGCTACATGTATACAGGTACAGGTATAAATAAAGATATTTAATAAAAAAAGAGAATGTGGTATTTGTTATTGAAACAACACAATAAATAATGTATTTTAAAAATACTGGCATTCACATATTTAAAAGAAATCAGGTGACTCCTTTATGGTGCCATTTTATTATATGTTTCAAGAAAGGAATGAAGAACTTTAAAAGGTACAGAGGTAATAATTTCAAGCTGGGCTATGGAAAAGGATTTTGATTACCTAAAAAAACTATACAAGAGTTCTTCAGCAGCCAAAATTTTCTTCCATTTAAATAGTGGTGATTTGGAAGAAAAAGCCCTAAATTGACAAATTGAAGGTTGAAGGTATCATTTAGTTTCTTGAGACGAGAACAAGTCTTTTTTACCAAGTTTGGAAAAAAGATCTCCAATGACAAAAAGTGCTCACATGAACCAGTTATTTAAACATTCTTTAAAAAGTGAAAATAAAATATTTTATCTCATCCCTACACATAAGATATTCTGTTATAAGTAAAGCTTCTTATCACAATTGCTGTTTTATGTCTGAATTCACACATTTTTTTCTTGAAATGTAAAAGTAGCAGCACCTTAAGAGAAGAAAAAGGGGAACCTTAACACTTTCATAGGAGTGCAGTTATAATCATGACATACAGACTGTGAAACTCTTCTCCCAGAAATAATCTTCTCCATAAATTCATTTTTTGGGTATATAACCCCCTCTTTATTTTACTCAAATTTTGGAATCTCCCCTTTCTATCATATATAAATATGAAGAATAACGTCCTTTAAATTTAAGTCTTCACATAGGTATCAGAGATGCTATACTTCAGTGTTACATCTTCAGATAATGTATCCTGTGTCTAATTTCATTCATGTATGAATTAAAGACTATTACAGAGTTTAAAACTTAAAGAGCGTGTTTAAAATACTGTATAAGATTTGGGTTATGAGGTCTGTGTTTTGAAAGTGCTTGTACCAGGTAAGTCTCCAAGTCTTTATTTTTTTCTGTCCTTAGTGGAGCCGAGCTTATACTGAGCATAGAAGATATTAAAAAAAAATCAGAACATTGTTCTGATCCATTTCCTTATTTAATAACACATTTATCAAGTAAGCATTTACACAATTTTTTCTTTTGTTAGCAAAATAATTGGGATTCTATCTGGTCAGAAGAGAAAATATGATCTGTGAGAAAACTTCCAGTTAACTTCTAACTCCAAAAATACAAGACTTTGATAACATAGTTTTCAGAAAGAAAATAAATATTCTCCTTTCAGACAGAGTGTCAAACATTTCACCCCAAAAAGCAATATTAACAGGTGAGTCAAAGTGTCCTGAATAAAACGTTGCCTTTACAGTTTTCAGTATTCAAGCAGGATCCTCAGTGTAGTATGCAGAACAACAATACGGGTACAAGATTTTAAAAAAGCCTCAGGATTATCAAGCTTTCATTCATTAAAAGAGGTGGATAGCACTCTGCATCCTAGTACAACATGCATTATGAAAGCACACTCTTATTAGTACAACTTGTGTTTTTGGTACAAGGAGAGAAAATCTGGTTAAAGAAGAAATCACACAAGGAAACTGAGTGGGATACTGCCTAATTCTGAGAGTGCACTTTCATTTGTTTTGCCTGCCAGTGTTGATTTAATTATACTGCATTATTATCAAAGCTGCATTATGTACTTTTTTATTCCTTTTACATGTGTTTGAGGTGAAGACCTTGGCTTTGTCGGCAAACAGCGTGTTTCAAGTTATTTCTTAAGTACTAAATAATAAAGAAAAGAGAAGAAAAGATTTTTTTTGAGATAGCAGACAGTGATCACAAGTTAAAGGGTTAAATGTAAGATCTCCAAGAAACATTTTGAAGTTGATTAAGACCCCAGCTTTGCATTAAACAGTATCACTTCCACATGAGTTGTTGCTAATGCTGTTAAGGAGCAGCTTGAGAAGCCCAGTGTGCCAGTGACCTCCTTCACCCTCCAGCCACCCACTAGGGCTTCTTGATTAGCATCCTACCTGGTTCTCTGAGGAATTCCCGTCATCCCCTAGGAGCTCATTCCGCACCTCATCACTGTAGGCGATTCGTGACCTTTTCTGTAAAACAAAAAGAAAAAAGGGTTAGGAAGTAAAGCTCCAAAGCCATTGGTATCAAGGCTGATCATCTTAAACCTCGAGAGCCCCCTAATGGATACCTATTTGATTAAAAAAAAANGGTTAGGAAGTAAAGCTCCAAAGCCATTGGTATCAAGGCTGATCATCTTAAACCTCGAGAGCCCCCTAATGGATACCTATTTGATTAAAGTATCTTAACAAATCTGCATGGCAAAACTATAGCATTTCTCAGACAGTCACACCCTCAACATTGCAGCAATGAAAGCAGCTTCTGTGAAGCTCAAGATACATAACGTGTGAGGCAATATGCACTAATAGCAGAAGCACTGAAAAAATGCCAGTGCGGGAACCAAGTGCATTTTTCTGAAGAACACTTGCTAGCAGGTCACAGAATGCAACATAAGAGCCATGGCAGCAATGCCACTAGACAGGAAAGGAAGACTGAGCTTTTCCCATATTAAAAACCCCCAAAAACCAAACCTGAACAACATACATGTGACATATCTGATTCCATTTGAAGATGTAGAAAATTAACAAACATTTTCTATGCTGCTAAGACTGCTGGGAAAGGATCAGAAATTAAAGGGCGAAAGAAAGGAGAGAAAATAACAGTACAAGGAAGCATTGGTTTTTAGTAGTTTATGGAAACACCACAAAACTGAGAAATTCATCATGGGATCGTTATGGCAGACAGAATATTATGTAAATTCACATCTTATGAGCACCAGATTTGCTCTTGAACTGATAATTATGTTGATTCTAAACTAGATCAAGTTCCAAGCAATGGAAAGCAAATGTGTGATGATGACAAAGGTAGCAGAGGATTCAGCAGAGCAATGGGGAAGTCCACAGTGAAAACATCAGCCCAGCTTTCAATTTCTCTGTTAGCCAAATAACAGGCTATTACTCAGTTAATACTCCCACACTAACCATTAAAGGAGGGATTGAATTTTTAATATATTGTCAATTTTTTTTTCTTTTTGAGAGTAGTTATGGTAATTTTTACACCTCATCAGTGGAAGAAACCCAAGAGTAACAAAACCTAAGCTACAGGGCCTTCCTTTATTGATGGGGGCTTCCCTCACACCCTGCCATGATAGTGACTACCAGTAGGAACTCAGAAGAAATTAAGCCCTCCTCAAACCTTCCCTGCTTGGGACATCATGCCAAAATTTGTGCTTGGGACTGAGGAACAGGAAAAAACCGCTAGAAAATATGCTGAGCACAGGGAAATTCATCTCCTTAGTAACAAAGAGGTTTGGAAGTGGGTCACCCTTTGTGCAAGGGACCTAGCAGTGAAGTAAGCCTAGCATGGGTCACCTCAGAGCAAAACATTTTAGCTCTTTATGTCATGTGGCTCCCCTTTATTACCAACATGATCGTTACAATGTCTACACATTTGTGATTCACTTGCCAGCGTTCAGATCTAGATGGTTTCCTAAAGCTACAGATGCAAATAAGAAGGACAAAGCCTTGGACCATGGACCCATGGCAAGAGGTGAATTGTGCCAAATCTTTTGGAGATCTCAGCTGTCACAGTTTCATACTAACCAAGCTAAAGTAGTCTACAGCATTAAAGGAAATGAGAACCTTTAAACAGGCTGTGGTATCAGAGCTGCCTGTTTAAATTATTCATTTCATCACTATGGGGGACTAAAACACTCCACAGTATGCAAGAATATCATATGGAGATAGGTTTTGTTTTTCTCTTTTCTCACCAAAAAGCCAACAAATTGGCATAGATTGCTCAATTACATTATTTTCCTATTTTTATTGGATACACATCAAACAAGGAAGGCAATTACAAATATATACCAATAAATATCTAATCTTCTTTTCTGATTAAGATTCAATCTTGAGACCTCATTTGAGGTCTAGCAGTTCAACTGTACAGTTTCTCCCAATTTCACAAAATGACTCAGCCCCATTGATCCTGTTAGTGTTGAATGTATTTATCATTATTAGGCTGAGACGAGGAGCATGATGCTTCATGAGCTTGTTCTCCAGTGAACAAGCTTCCTAATAAAATGTAGGGACTGAAATGGTCCTTGATTACACATCATTTATTTGAAAGATATAACTGGATGATATTCTCATTCTTAAAAGCCTGCATGGGAGAAAGAAAAAAGAATATACTTCACAGGAAAGCAATAAAGGTTAATAGCAATACAACTTTTAGAGGCCCTTATAATCCTTTATTATAATTGCCACTGAACTTAATAAATATATTTGTATCGTTGTTCTTTTATTGTAATAATCTGTCAAGATCTGAAAATCAGGAATTTTATTAAAAGAAATAATGCTTTGGCTGCAATTAGGTATAACTCTTTGCCATAATCAATAAATAATTTGATACTACATTTGATCACAGTTTCACTACCAAATGAATCAATAATATAAAAGGAAAGGTCTTTGAACTAAAGTGTTCATTCATTCTTTCAGGATTTGTCAAAAATATCAATATCTTGAAATACTATTCTTATTTTTATTAAAGTATTATAGGCTAACACCTTTAAATGTGGCTATCAAGATTAGTTCGGCTTGTCTGAACTTGATAATTAAGTTGTTTTTTTATTATTTTTTACTTTTTAGTTCATAACCATCAGCTGTTTATAAATATATACTTTAGCCAAATGCAAGAATGATAGTTTGAGCTGGAAATGTCACACACTCTGCTACAGTTTGAAGGAACCCAATTCATAATGCATTTTATAAATAGTTAATGACTTCTATACATAAGCTAACCAGGCAAATCAAGAAATTGTCAACATTTTTAGTCTTAGTTGTCAGTTACCACTGTCTACTGGTACTTTATATGTACGTTTCTAGAAAAGACAGAAGCTTTACAGAGTTTGTAATCCAAGGCATTTCTGGGCAGCTCAATATAGGTTTAAGAGGTTCTGTGTGCAGTTTTTTGTCTGCAAAGCTCTGTCATATATAGAAGTTTTCCTTGTATTTTATATTTTCTTGTATATACCTACACAAAAAGTCTAAGCACATAAGCGGTTTTGCTCAGTGAATGTGTTTGCATGTGCCCAAAAACAGAGACACAAACGGGTTAAGCTACTTTCTCCAAGAACTTCAGCACTCAGAAAGTTTCAGGGGCTGTTTTAAATGTACTACAGTACCCAGACCTTCTGACAAGGAAGAATTTCTGATTCCAGGCAGATCTCTCTTGGTTTATGAACAGGATTTTTGCATACTGATTGGGTGATTTCCTTAAAGCCCTGTTCAAACAGATACACTTGCTCAGTTCTGTCTGGCAATTTGGCTTTAAACAATCTGTCTACTTGACCCAAGCCTTAACATTTCCCAATAGAACTGAATGTGTTCATAGGCAAGCCCAACTAAATTAGAATTGAAATGAATTAACTCAGCTTAAACTAATTAAGATCTGTGATCTGCAGTACCACCCCCCTGTATGATTCCACATGTGAAGCAGGGTACACGTAACCAGACTGTAAGAATTCTGCTATACCACTAATCTGAGCATACCAATGAAGTTCCTCTATCACTAAAGCATATGAGAAGTTAATTTCCATGGCCTACACATGGCAAAGCAATTGCTTAAATTGCCTCACCTGGGAATTTAATACAATGTTATCATCAGACCAGCCCCACTGTAAATAGATTTATAATGCTTTCCATGTGCTAGGCTAGGTTGCATATGAATTAAGTAATGATCTGGTATTACAATACAATCAGCTAGTTCCCACACCTGGCAGACAGGATATTTTGCTAAATTACTACCTATACAGATACATCACAACATAAAAACAGAGAAGGTAATGGGAAGAGAAACAATCTACATGGTGTATGACTGAATTTTACACGCTAACCAAATAAGATGTAGATAGAAAGAGGTATCCAAAATAATCTACTTCCAACATCTGCACAACAGAACACATACTTATTCATTTCTATTCAATTTTGGCCTAATTTTCCGCATTCTATACTTTAATTACCATCCACATTCTGAAATGTTCCCATTAGTAAAGGCCAGAACTAGCCAGTGCCCCCTCACTCCAATGCACTTCCAGCAATCAGCCAAATAATTGATATAAAGTATTGTACATTTTCATACATGAACTAAAGAATAGCTTCCCCCTCCTAAATGCTAAACAGCCCCTGAAGAGATGAGCAAACGTAGGTGCATTTCAGACAAAAGACCCAGCAGATCCTTTTATCCCAACCTCTCAATTTTTCAGGCTCAATGTTTTAAGAACAGATTAAACAGATTTTTCTTGTGGAATATGTGTAAACAACAAAAAAGCTTATTTATCCACACACATCTGTTTTCATACAAAATTTATTAGAATTTCCAAGTATATATAAATGTTTTTTAAAAATCTCCAGGCATCTATTTCAGAGCTTGGCCCTGCTCTAAATATAAATAAATACCTGAGATTAACATAACCAGAAATAATTTGTGGGAATATATTCAGATTTTATTTTGTGTTCTTTGACAGTAGTCACTTCTGCCATTGCTCTTGCTAAAAGCAAGGTGAAAAAAGTGACCTGATCCCCAAATGGACAGCTTAATACTGCAGAATATATACTTTCATCTCTGCCTTTTGGAATAGGTATTTAAGTATTTTTTTGTTGAGCACAAATGGAAAAGAGACAGTTCAACAAATTTAGAGGAAAAGTGGCCCCATTTAACAATCTCAAAGCTTTTATTGAAACAGAAAACCAAACTGATTTCTTATTAAATAAAATAAATTGGAATTTATTTTCAATTTGAAAAATTGTGTTCAAACTTCAGTTTTCAAAACTTATATTTCATTTTCAAAACTGTATTTCTCTCTAAAGGTGATCAAGGAACAACAGACTAGACACTTCAGACTGCAATTCCTGCTCCTAAGTAGCTGAGCTTTTAGCAACTGGGTGCATGAAGCAGGAGAATTGTGCTAATATACAACCTGATGCAATGCTGGACTTTCAAGCATTTCCTTAAGAAAACTGAAAAAAAATTCAAATGG